CTAAAAGTGGCTTTCATATAATTACTCTTATGATTTTATCCTATGCATACATTTTAGTTAAACGATTTAAATTTAAAATCTTATATTGCCATTAATTTGTTAGATAAAGTGTATATATGCAACTTGAAAAACAGAGATTAGTATCTAATTTCTGGTTTGAATCTTTGAGATAACCAGTTAACCAGTGTTACGTGTCAATATCATCACTCCAAACCAATCGTTGATACTTCCGTGTGGTTCATATCCTGTTTCTGTAGGAGACGTGCTCCTACTCGCTTCTATATATCTATCTATATATTCGATCTACACCTAATTCACGATTTCAAAATCCAAATCCAAAATGGGAACGGAAGCTAAACTCACCAATGGAAACACCGTTACCGGAGAACAAACCGGCTCCGCCTTCAAGCTAGTTGGCTTCAACAACTTCATCCGAACAAATCCCATGTCCGACAAATTCTCAGTCAAAAGATTCCACCACATTGAGTTCTGGTGCTCCGACGCCACCAACACCGCCCGACGTTTCTCCTGGGGCCTTGGAATGCCCATCGTTCAGAAATCCGATCTATCAACTGGAAACGCAACTCACGCCTCCTACCTCCTCCGCTCCGGTCAACTCAACTTCCTCTTCACTGCTCCTTATTCCCCCTCCATCTCCTCCGCCGCCACCTCCACCACCGCTTCCATCCCGTCGTTTTCCCACACTGACTGCCGCAACTTCACCGCCTCCCACGGCCTCGCAGTCCGCTCAGTCGCCATTGAAGTCGAAGACGCCGAAATCGCTTTCTCCGTCAGCGTCTCCCACGGCGCTAAACCCTCTTCTTCCCCAATCACCCTTGGAAATAACGACGTCGTACTGTCGGAAGTTAAACTCTACGGCGATGTCGTTTTGCGTTACATAAGCTTCAAGAATCCAAACTTTGATGCCATATCTAACTTCTTGCCCGGGTTTGAACCAGTTGAAAAGACGTCGTCGTTTCCTGACCTTGACTACGGTATCCGCCGTCTTGATCATGCGGTAGGCAACGTCCCGGAACTCGCTCCGGCTGTAGACTACGTCAAATCGTTCACCGGATTCCATGAGTTCGCCGAATTCACGGCGGAGGATGTCGGCACGAGCGAGAGTGGACTCAATTCGGTCGTTTTAGCGTGCAATAGCGAGATGGTTTTGATCCCTATGAATGAGCCGGTGTACGGAACAAAGAGGAAGAGCCAGATTCAGACGTATCTGGAACACAACGAAGGCGCCGGAGTTCAGCATTTGGCGCTGGCAAGTGAGGACATATTTCGGACCTTGAGAGAGATGAGGAAGCGCAGCGGTATTGGTGGTTTTGAGTTTATGCCGTCGCCACCGCCTACTTATTATCGGAATTTGAAGAATAGAGTCGGAGATGTATTGACGGATGAACAGATTAAGGAGTGCGAGGAGTTGGGAATATTAGTCGATAGAGATGATCAGGGGACTCTGCTTCAAATCTTCACCAAACCCGTGGGTGACAGGTATGCCCATATTCACCAATTTCCTTGAATTCATTATCAGCATATTCAATAATACAGAACCCTAACTTGCATATTGATGAATTCCCAAAATTTGGGATTGTTGTTTGTATTTGTATCTGGGCAGGCCAACCATATTCATCGAGATAATTCAGAGAGTTGGGTGTATGTTGAAAGATGATGAAGGCAAGGTGCAGCAGAAGGCAGGGTGTGGAGGATTCGGGAAAGGGAACTTCTCTGAGCTCTTCAAATCTATCGAGGAATATGAGAAGACGCTTGAAGCACGAACCACTAGTGAACCAACTGCTGCTGCATGAAAGCTGCCCATAATAGGTAGTTTGATTGAAATCCTATGATTCCAACATATTACATATGTACATGAGGATTCTGTAGAAAGTGAGTCCTGAAAATGTTTGAACTTGACAAGAAGATATTGGTAACATGTTCTAATTTTCTATACGGAATAAATACTGTTGGGTTAGTTTTTCTTCATTGATCAAAGTGTTTTTAGCTTTCGCAACATGCTCGAATGTATCATGGAAGAAAGACAACAAAGTTGTTTACTTTTCTGACAAAAACACACACACACACACACATTTTATCCCAAAACACTTCAAAGAGCTCGAGAGTGAAGTCCAAGGGCGATTTTGGTGTCAAGAGGGCTTTAAAAAACTACTTTTTGAAGAAATAGGCATAACCCTAATCTCTATTGATGAACTTAGGTTTACCATGTTTTGGGTTTTGATGAGGATATCTGAAACTAGTTAAATAATATTCAAGAAATGATGTTATTTGGTTAGTAAAACATTCTTATATGAAAGTAATTCATGTATTATGAACCTAATTATTTGTTGAATAATTAGAGTTTATAAAACTTGATCGAGGGAGAATTTCATGTCATAAATAAAAACTTAAAATATCATCTGTCTAAAACCTTTTTTTTTTTTTTTTAATTATTTTGAACTGTTATTTTTATTTTAAAATATCATTTATATTTTTTAGAAACTTTAAAATATTATATTTATTTAACTTATCGTTTTCTTTTCAAAGTGAGATAATATACTTAAAAGGGAACAAAAGCACCTGCCATTTGCCAATTAGTATACCAACTCCTTGCCTACCATAAACAATTATCATATTAACTCTTGTACCCTTCACAAGGCAACACGTGACAATGCATGAGTTAAAGTGATTTAATATTGGATTATTCAATCACGTAATATAACTCCAAAATTTATTTCATTTCCTTTACAAGAGAATCTCCATGATTGCTTTGAAAACAAATACAAATATTTTGAGAAGCCAAGCATAAAATACCAATTACAAAGTTCAAAAAATCAAAAAACTTAAGACAATTTTTTACGTGGACGTTTCTACTCCTTTGTGTCAAACAAGTTTACAAAGTTTTCAATAACAAAAATACTTTTAACTATCAACAAACATTGATTCGATCAACAGAAGCAACCATAAACATGGTTTTTTTAATTCAATTGATAGAAGCGAACATGAACAAACACTAATTTAATCATGGTTTCGCCGCGCTAAAAGAATTTAAGAACCATACATTTTGAACCATAATCACCCAAAAAGAAGTGTTGTTCCAGGCGACTTTTGTATCAATGGTGTACGACAACATTGACTATGACGGTGTTGGTGACCTCGACAATGGCAAAATCGCCCTCCACCTATGTCAGGGGCAGACCAACAAGTTGCACATGGCGTGTGCTACCCTTCCAATTTTCGGTGTAGTATAATTTTTTTGAGAAATTGTCCGGCGTAATACAATTTTCCGGCATACCACCCTTAAAATCATGTATGTTACCTTTGTCATTTTCATTTACGTCCGTCGATGCCCACGTTTGTATTGTTTTAATTTCTAGACGAGCTTCGTACCAGTTCATGAAATCCTATCGGAATTATGCCTACAAAATATGGGAAAATGACTTAAAAGCCCAATCAAGTTTCCAAACCATTTAAAAAAACCTCAATCATGTTTTGTCTGTTCAAAAAAACCCAACGAACTTAACATTTTGTCTAAAAAGTCCAACAAAGTTCCAAACCGTTCAAAAAATCCAAATTTTGTTTTGTTTAAATTCGTTGGAGTTTTTTTTTTAACAGTCAAAACATGATTGAAGTTTTTTAAAGGTTTTGAAAACTTCGTTGGTCTAACAAGTAAATTTTCCGATACAGTAATAAGTCACGTCATCTATTTCTCTTATTTGACTTTCCGGAAAGTGTAACTTAGTTGGACTTTTTAGAAAATATGTTATGTTTGTTGGGTTTTTTTGAACAGACAAAACATGATTGGGGTTTTTTGAACGGTTTGAAAACTTCGTTGGGCTTTTAAGTTATTTTCCCTACAAAATATAAGGAAGGTATTAAAGCCTATCCATATATATATATATATATATATATATATATATATATATATATATATATATATATATATATATATATATATATATATATATATATATATATATATAAAGCGTTAAAAAGACATCACCTTATGCATAAAGATAATATTAATTTTTCCAAGCCAATAAACTATTATAAATTTCATATTGTAATAACCAAATAAAATTTAGAATATAGTTTTATTTATTTACTCTCACATAAAATACGGACATAGTGAAATATAATTTTAGACATGCAGTAAAAAAAAAAGTCTCCTAACTTTCACTATTTACTAAAAAAAATTCTTATATAAATGTATTTTTATGGTAGGAGATACTATTTAGGGGTGTTTGAGCGTATTTTTCAATAGAGGTGGCAAATGATGACGCAATACGATAAAAATATCCTACACGAAACGAAATTGAGACGAAACTAAAATTCGAATTCGTGTTCGTGTCAAGTGTAAAAAACACGACGTCGTGTCGTGTCGTGTTCGTGTTCAAAATTTGACCCGAAATTGACACGATTTAACATTTTTTTTATCGTGTTTGTCTTGTTTTTCGTGTTATGTATGAATAAATATTAATTAAATACATTAATTGTTATTTCATGTTATCTTTGTCGTGTCGTGTCGTGTTTGTCGTTTTTTAATTGGTTCGTTTTCATGTTAGTTAGAAAAACCCGAGATCGTGTTGTGTCGGGTACGTATTACATAAAACTTTGTCGTGTCGTGTCGTGTCAGACAAAAACACGACACGATAGTCCGATTTGTCACCCCTACTTTTTAATTAACTTATTGACATTTTTAGAAAAGTTAGAAAATTTTGGCCTTTTGAAAGTCATTTTTTACATTAAAAATTTGATGTTTAAGCTTTTTAATTATGAAAAACTAATAAATATATAAGTCACTTTTTAATTTATTCACTTATTGAAAAACCAATATATATGTCATTCTGAAAAACACTCCCAAGCATCCTTTTGAAATTATAATACACAAGCCTTTTAAATTATCTATATTTAACTACATAACAGTAAATATTTAACTAATAGTACAATACATCATTATATTGTTAAATTTATACAAAATTGCATAATTTTGTGAAATAATTGAATGTGCTTGCCCACGAAAGAAGTTGAATTGAATGGGTTCAGTGCTTCCCCACCTTTTATCAGAGAAAAAAAGTGCTTGTCCACCTAGCTTACAATGGAAAGTAGAATTCGCTTTGAATATTCAGTTCTACAAACGCCTTTGGGCAATTCACTTTTGAAGTAATCAATTTAAGATGTGATTTACTTTATTGATGGGGTTCACGTGGGACGCAGAAAATCAGGGCAAGCATGGGGGGGGATCGACTCGTGAACCATGATCAGTAGCAGGGGATCCTTCAATTGAAATTTCAAGTTGGTAAAGTCAGCAACTGCGTCATCTGCAGCCATTAAAGTCGATTTGAACTTTTAAGTTGGTGTGGCAGCATCATCAGTGTTTATAAAAATAAAAAAGCAAAGGTAAAGATCGAATGTTTGAATAAACAAACCAAAAGCACGTCTTGCTATTTCATCCATGCCTTCTTGATTATAGCACCCAACCTGTTCGACAAAATGCCTGGCTATCATTGGCCATGTCTTTATGTCTTCACTACTCATCTGATGCTAGCTAATTGCCATCACCCCAAGCCCAAAATCCCAATAACTTTATACCAATTTCGAAAAAAATTATTGATAACTGATAAGTCCATTAGGCTAATTATAAAAGCCATATAATTCACGTTTGAGTGGATGTGAAATACATGTGATGCACTCTCATTTATTATAATGGTACCAGATCAAATATGAAATATCACTATCAGTCATTATAAAAATAAAAAATAAAACATATGTAGGGTCATTGTGCTTTGGTACACAGATCTAAGACACGAAGCCGAAAGTAGGCAACTTGAAAGCGTTTCCATAATTTCTTCTTTCTTACTTTAATTTCTTTCCTTTTTCTTTCGGATATTCATAGTTTAAATTATACAGTACATCCGACCAATTTGATATCCGGTTGTGATGGTTGCTGAATGACAATGGATTGTCCTGTGGCACTCAAAGTTTACCTTTTTTATGGGGTAAAAAGCCCCACAGACAGATAATAATGTTGAAGGAGACACAATTATCACCTTTTTGTCTATAATCAAGCAATGGTCCAAAAAGACGACCCAATTTGACTCAGACTCTTGTTTATATATGTTTTCCCGACTATATTTTTATGGGTCTTCTAGTTTAAATTATAGTTCGCAATCAGACAAGGCGGCATGGTCATAGACTCATAGATGATAAGTTTTTGATCTTTTGAATTGGAAAAGAAAGGATCATCCATGGCTCCTACAGGAAAAGCTTTGGGATTCTATAATGAAGACAATGACTGGTAAACTCTTTCTCTTTTACTCCTCTTAACATTATATGATTTCCAAATTCACTTGCTTTTTTGATCATTTGGTAATCAGTATCTGAGTCTCTTAAAGAAGTTACATATTTGTGTGCCAGGTTTTGTAATGCAGGTTTGCCAAGTGATCTCACCATTGTCATAGATGGAGTAAACTTCCATCTTCACAAGGTGTACTTTTTCTTCCAACTTTCAATGTTTAATTTCAGCCTGTGTGAACTGGTGTCAATCATTAATACCAAACTTTTTAAACTGCATGTTTCTCCAGTTTCCCTTACTATCAAGATGTGGGAAAATAGAAAAGTTGATGAAAGAAACTGAAAATAACAATAAAGGTACTTCCACCATCACCCTGGAGGACATTCCTGGTGGTGCCACCTCATTTCTGTCTGCATCTAACTTCTGTTATGGTGTTCATATTGAACTTACACCTACAAATATAGTTATGGTGTATCACGTGTCAGATTATCTTGAAATGACTGATGAATATGGAGATGATAACTTATTCTCAAAAACAGAGACTTACTTCCATAAAAATATACTAACAAACTGGAAGGATTGCATGGTTGCTCTTCAAAGTTGTGAAACCATTGTAACACAAAGTGACAATCTCCAAATCATCAGTAAATGCTTGAATGCCATGTCAGCAATGGTGTGCACAGACCCGAGTTTGTTTGGATGGCCAATGATGATGATGTATGGTTGCTTACAAAGCCCTGGAGGTAGCATTCTCTGGAATGGAATCGACACCGGTGCAAGAATCCAAACATCGGAATCGGAATGGTGGTTTGAAGATGTTTCACATCTTAGTATTGTTTTGTTCAAAAGGCTTATCAAGACACTGGAATCTAAAGGCATCCAACCCGAAAAGTTAACAGGTGAAATAATTCAATTCATCATCATACATTCCATTATTTACAACTTTGCCACTGACTTGCAGGTGCTATTATGTACTATTCTGGGAAATGTCTCCATGGTTTAGGCAGATGGCAAAGTGGGCAGTTTAGTAAAACTAAATTTAGCGCAAAATATGACATAGTTGATCAAAGGGTAGTATTGGAAATCATTGTGGATATTCTCCCACATATAAAGGGCGAGTCTTTTTGTCGTTTCTTATTGGGACTTTTACGTGTTGGTTTAATGTTGGGTGTTAGTGATAAATGTCAAGAATCACTTGAAAGGAGGATAGGAATGCAACTAGAATTTGCTACATTAGATGGAATCATGATTCCTAGTTATATTGATTCTGATACATTATATAATACGGACACTGTTGAAAGGATGATTAACTATTTTATAACTTGTGAAGAAATGGGTTTTACAACATTAACAAATGTTTCTAAGCTTGTGGATAGTTATATAGCAGAGATTGCATCTGATGTGAACTTGAAACCTGACAAGATACGTTCACTTGCAAAGTCTCTTCCGGAATCTTCAAGATCTTTGCATGATGGACTATACAGAGCTTTGGATATTTATTTTGAGGTCTTTTTCTTATATACTCAAAAAAGGTTTTTTTTTTTTTTTTGATTTCTTTTAAGTAAATGATTTTTTAATTCAGGCTCATTCGTGGTTGAATGAGAAAGAAAAAGAAGGTCTATGCAAAATCATTGAGTGGGAGAAACTATCCATTGATGCTTGTGCTCATGCTTCTCAAAATGTACGCCTACCACTTAGAGTTGTCTTCCAAGTGTTGTTTTTTGAACAGATGCATATAAAAACAGCTCTAGCAGGATGCCTTCATGTGTTTAATGACGAAAATAACCCTACATATCATCCATTGGGCCTTGTGCATGAGAATGAGCTACTAAGAGTTGGCATGGAGAAGATGAGGAGAAGAGTGAGTGAACTTGAAGAAGAGTTCAATAAACTGAGGCAAGAGATGACAAGGATGAGTGGGGCCCATTTGTGTAAGTAATGTTTTGGTTAGTATGGGTAATTGGGTACCAAGAAAACCCACCCGAGAAGCATTAATTATGGATCTTGGATGTGTTTTCTTGATTCCTTTTATCTTTCTTTTTTCATCAATGGTTGTAGCTTTAATGCATTACGATGCTACTTGGATTTTTGTAGCAAATGAGCACTATGCTTTACAAATGGCCAATTTGTATAAATTATTACAATGTAAATCCAAAGATTAAAAAAACAAAACATTGAATCAAGACTCAAAATTGTAGCTTTTTGAGATGAACAACTCATGGTAGCATGTTGTGTATGTAAATTTTAATTGTTTAAACAATGGAGGATTGTTCATGGAGAGCGACACACAACAAGAATGTGGACTATTTCCAACATTTTGCCTTTCTGGGATTATGTATTTCCATTAAAGGTTTTACCTTGTAAATCACCAAGATCCTATTATGAGACAAATATAGCCTAATATTATCACATTTACACATAATTAGTAATGCAAGATGTTAGCAATGAATCTTCAAATATAGAATTTGAAACTAAAACTAATCGTGTGCAATTGGGATTTCGTGTAGAAATCTATCTTAAACCCTATATATATAAATCTCCAAAACCCATACCCCTTCACATAAACATAAACACAAAGCAAGATTTAACCACAATGGATCTTATCATTTACCTTATTCTCATTTTCTTTATCAGTCATTCTCCCTTCGCATCTTTTGCATCTCAGATACATAATCCTTCCTCAAGAACAGGATATGAACTCATTAAGGAGTTGAATTTGAACCCAAAACTCGATCTTAACATCATCAAGCCAAACATATCCAATTCTTCTTCAGTCAGCATTACGGGTTCCAGAATAGTTGAAAAGCCATTAAAGCTCCAAGTTCTTGGGAATTCAGGTGCTTCAGTTCATGACCTTGCTCATCTTGCTGGATATGTTCAAATCAAACACACTGTAGGCGCAAGGTATCTTTTGTCATCACCACATCATGTAGAATGAAAAATATATAAACAAATATCAAATAGTAACTAAACGAAATATATTAACTATGTTTGAAGGATGTTCTACTACTTCTTTGAATCAAGAAACAAGAAAGATGATCCTGTGGTCATATGGTTGACTGGAGGACCTGGTTGTAGCAGTGCAATAGCTCTTTTATATGAAAATGGTCCTTTTCAACTCACCAATAACTTATCACTTGTGTGGAATGACCATGGTTGGGATAAGGTCACGTCTTTTAACTCATCCATTCTACCATATATGATATACCCATTGAATGAAAAAAAAAAAAAAAAAAAAAAAAAAAAAAAGTAACTATAACATGCATATTGATTTTCTAGGTTGCAAACATGATATACATTGATCAACCTATTGGAACTGGTTTCAGTTACAGTTCAAGTGAAAAAGACATTCGACATGATGAAAAAGGTGTAGGAGATGACCTTTATGACTTCCTTCAGGTAATTTGAATAATTATGTGATCTCAAAATCCCAAATGTAAAAAAACTAAAGTTGAAATTTTTAATGAATGACAGGAGTTCTTTAAGGTGCACCCTGAGTATGTGAAAAACGACCTTTACATAACTGGAGAATCATATGGAGGACACTACATTCCAGCTTTTGCTACCCGTATAAACCAGGGGAACAAGAACAAAGATGGAATTCATATAAACTTGAAGGTGGTGTTGATTACAATCTTCCAACAGTTTTAGGATTTACAATTTTGCTCATGGAATTGTGATTAACTGGATAGGGATTTGCAATTGGAAACGGACTCACTGAACCTGGAATCCAATTCAAGGCGGATGTTGATTTCGCTTTGGAAAATCAGTTAATTACAAAAAACGATTACAATGAATTGATTCAAATAGTACCAAAGTGTGAAGAAGCAGCAAACAAATGTGGTAATTTTCATTATTTAACCTTGTTATATTTTTGTTAATGTCGTATATATACTTGAGGTGTTCTAATTTTCAGGGACAAATGGTAAAGCCAGTTGCCTTGATGCCTGGAAAATATGTGTGGAAATTCACTACAAGATTTTGTATGCTAGCAATATATGTGTAAGTAAACAAATAAATATCCTACAACCATAACTGGAAGTGCAATTCATATGTAATAGAAACAATTGTTGTATAACAGCCTTATGATTTGAGGAAGCAAAGATGTGGGGACTTGTCAAGGATAGATGAATTCTTGAACTTGGAATCAGTGAAAAAGGCATTAGGGGTACCAGAGGAAATACATTTTGGGGCATGTAATGCTATGGTGTATCAAGCAATGAAGGAAGACATTATGAGAAACCTTGAAGTTGGGATTCCAGTGCTTTTGGAAGATGGTATTCAGATGCTTGTTTATGCTGGAGAATATGATTTTATTTGCAATTGGCTAGGTATGATATCATACAAATGAAATAATGAAAATAAGCAAGGTTTTTTTTTTTTTTTTTTTTTTTTCATTTTCTGAAAGGACTTGGTTTTCTCTGAATTAACAGGGAACAATAGATGGGTCAAAGGCATGAAATGGTCTGGTCAACTAAATTTTGCTGCATCTACAGTCTATCAATTTATAGTAGATGGGAAAGAAGCTGGATTGGCAAAAAACTATGGCCCTCTCACTTTCCTTAAGGTTTGTGCATGAAGATATCAATATATGAATATATATATATAATATATGTATGTATCCAATGAGCTTTTATGGTTAAATAAATTTTTTTTTTTTTTTTTTTTTTTTTTTGTAAATCAGGTGCATGATGCTGGGCATATGGTTCCACAGGATCAACCAAAGGCTTCATTGCAGATGTTAAAGATGTGGATAGAGGGAAAGCTTACTTTACCAGTTACCACAAAGATAAAAAAATAAAACTGTGTAGTAATGTTGTGAGTATTAAGAAATAATGTAAACAATAAAAGTGAGAATGTTTAAGCATGAAGAACATTGGGTATTTAACAATCAGGTCTTACTCCATGTAATTCCCTCAATGTATCAATTACAGGACGAAAGCCAGATTTCAAAGGAACAACCGATACAACTCGTTGATGTTGTGCATTGCCATTCTTGGGTTTTGAAAGTGTCACCTTCAACATCTCTCCCTCCAGAATCTTACTCGCAGTCTCACCTGAGAAAACATAACATTTTCAATCCGTTAGGAGTTAGGACACACAATAACAGTAGAACGAAAACGATGAAGTAGTTGCCATTTGCCAACATATTTAAACAAAGATTCAAAGAACATCAAATGAGAATAATGAAAGTTAATAGATCAGATATTCTTTTTAAATGGGTAATTTTAAAATGATACTAACCGGAAAAGGGATGAAGCTTGGCGAAATCGGCGAAATCTTGAGCAGAGCAACCAAAGAGAACCCTAGCAGCCCTGTCAAACATCACCACCTCAAACACCTTCGTCTCTGTCGCTACGGACATGAGGACGCGAAATAATCGTTTAGAAGAAGGATGAGAAGTAGAGCCGCCGCCGCGATGAGGAACAGCACTAGTATTTCTAGTGAAATTGCAGTGATCGCAGTGAGTTACGGACGGCGGCGCGGTGTTGGTTTCGGGGAGAGCTCTCTCGCAGAAGGAACACACTGTGTAATACAAGGCGGTGTGATCAATGGCGACGACTGTGCATATGGTGGTAGTCCGTTTGTCCACTTCCATTGCGGTTGCCGAATGCCGGGGGAACAACAAACTATGCTGACAAGAAGGTAAATATGAACCTTTTTCTTAAATGTATAATATGATATGCTTCAACAATTTATTCATCAAGCGGGGATAGCTCAGTTGGGAGAGCGTCAGACTGAAGATCTGAAGGTCAGGTGTTCGATCCACCTTCACCGCATTTTTATTTTACATAAACTTTTTTGATGATTAATCTGTTATACTTATACATAACTAAAAACTTCACTGAGAGAACCCTAGGTCATCTACATTCTTATAAAGACACATACGTTTAATGATTACAAATATACCGTATCACAATAATAGAAAGAGGTATGTCTTTTTGTACAATTAAGGCATATGGTGGTTGTCCTATCTCTATTATGCATAGTTGATATTTCTTTACATAATTGCTTAAGGTTTTTTTTTTATGATTGATATTTTGTAATGTTCGTACCGTGTAATAATATTATTTCTTTTTCATTCCACAAAAAATGTATTCATATGAGTGAGTCATTTCCTTCAATCACAATGGTGCATCATCTTTTTTGATTTATTCCTTTTTTTTTTTTCTAACCTAGAAAATTCTATTTTTTTCAACCCACTTTTAAAATTATATTTTATTTAATTAAATTAGAAATACAAAATAAAATAAAACATAACATTGTTTTCATTTTAAAAGAAAATTTTGCTAATTTAAAACAAAAACAAAATTCTAAAATAATATTAAAAATAACATTTAATTAAAAAACCACACTATAAATAAAAAATACACAATAATTATAAAAGTACACTTAAAAAGACAACTTAATTTAAATTCTAAAAAGACAATTAAAATTAACTATATATTATTCAGAGTTAGAATGTAGACATATTCAATGTGATCGGTAACATCGGATCGAAGCTAATGGTGAGTTTCAAAATTGCACAATTCATGTATTATTTTTTGGTCATCGGTCGGGCCGATACACAGGAGATATCGGAGCACCCTTATCTTTCAATATCAAATTGTGTAGTATAATAAAAGCGTACATTATGTTTTTTGTTTTCTTCATCGTCGTAACTCGTGTAAGCATTTTTAATATGTCTCAACGTCCTTTAAGGACCCTAAAAGAACATTTTACATCTTTTCTAGTTGATTATTGTGCAGCCTTAAACCGTATCTTTTGTCGGTTACTGAATATGGATATGCTTTCACAAATACGGTCCATGATGAATATATTTCATCCGCAAGATAGTAACTATGTTTGTAGTATTCATTATTTAAATAAAATGAACAATCGAGTCCTGTTTCATGATATTTCTCATCAAACAACGGTGATTGGTGGAGGACATTTAAATCATTGCTCGAACCAACTACAACATAGAATGCATGTCAAAATCATAAATATTGTGACGTCGCCGCTTCTAGTATCAATGATGGATATTGATGGTCACCCCTCATGTATTGGCTTCTCAATTCCATTGGATAATTCCTCCAATTCTAATGTGTGTACTCAATGCTACCAATCATTCCAGGGAATCCATGTATAGCTTCATGTGCTTCATACAAAAGTTGAATATCAGTAGATGTTGGACGACGTAAATATTCAGCCTTATACATTTGGACAACAACGTAGCAAAAGTTTTCAAGAGCTTCACGAGAAGTTCTTTCTGACATATTCAGATACTCATCTAACAAGTCTGAGTTATAACCCTTTGCTAATTGACATATTGTTGATGTGCATTTTGTAGTGCATTAAAACTTCTTTGATTTGTTGCATCCCATGTTGTTTGAAAATAAGGATAATTCATTCCAAATCACCAATAAGTCACATAAACAAACATTTGTTCATACGGTTGAATCATCCGCAAAATAATGTCGAATCAGGAGTCTTTCAGCCTTAAAACGATCCTTGTGGTTTGTGTTTCATCTTTTAATGTTGCTTGAACTAGCATTGTTCTTAAGAAGAAGTTGTACGGTACGAGCCAATAATTATTGTTGATAAGTTCATCCTTAGATGATGAACTATCATCATTAATTTCCATTACTGTTTTCCAAACATTTGGATTCATTTTGAAAAGAGATTATAGAAAGAAAATGAAACAAACAAACATATATATATATATATATATATATATATATATATATATATATATATGAAACAAGGATACATATAGATAATCTTAATAAAAAAATAATACAAATAAAAAACATAATAATAATGAGAAAGATTCTCCAGTCAAATGATGTCGACATTTTGAACTTCATGGGTGTTCGAGCCGATACACAGGAGATATCACAACACCCTTATCTTTCAATATCAAATTATGTAGTATTATACAAGCGTACATTATGTTTTTTGTTTTCTTCACCGTCGTAACCCGTTTAGAAATTTTTAGTATGTCCTAACGTCCTTTAACGACCCCAAAAGAACATTTTACGTCTTTTCTTGTTGATTATTGTGCAACCTTAAACCGTATCTTTTGTCGGTTATTGGATATGGATATGCTTTCACAAATACAGTCCAGGATGAATATATTCCATCCGCAAGATAGTAACTATGTTTGTAGTATTCATTATTTAGATAAAATGAACAATCAAGACTTGTTTCATGATATTTCTCATCAAACAATGGTGATTGGTGGAGGACGTTTAAATCATTGTTCGAACTTCATGGGTTCTCCAACTCCCAGCCATACTTAGTTGCGATTTTCCGTTTCCTTTTAAGCACCGTGCACATAATACCTCCAGCCAAATGATCATGCGATCATAGAAAATACTCTAGATCTTAGTTTCTCTCTCCCGATCCACTAGTTGAGCTTTCCTTTCTTCATTAGCTTCGAGAATGCGTAAATTTTGTTCCCGATACCGTTGTCTTTGTTCCGCCTCTGTTTCGGTTGTAGATTTGATGTCGGGAATTTGTTTGATGAGATCAAACATTTCATTTTTTTTTTGATGATGTCGATGTCACTTTCTTTCCTTTTCTTTTTCTTAAAGGCGGTGAGTCTTCAACACTAAACGTCTGCTGTTGGGGGGGGGGGGGAATCTAGGAGGATACTGTGGATCAGAAGATGATGTGTAAGCGTTAGATGAAGATGTTTTGGTTCGTTTTGATAAAGGAGGTGTGGAGTCTTCACCAACTTTTTTCAACCAGTTCCCATTTCGCATTGTCTTTCAACCACTCCCAGGCTTGTTGATGAGGAACACCTTTCTGATTAAATTTTCCTATGGTACTCGCTTAGCGAGGATTGTAAAACATTAGCCTCATATCTCCCGTTAGCCAGACTGTTCATCTACGGTTATAGATATTGTTGAAAGTGTTACTATAAAACTCGATCTAATGTATCAATCCAAATCACAATATTGGTGCGGAATCCCAATCTAATGATTAACGCAAAACAATTATAATGAATTAAGAACACAATATCTAATCTTCAATGCACACTATATTGATCAATAGTCTAGTACATAAGATCTCTATGTCTCGGTTCTCTCTGTCTCTCTCTAAAACCAAATCAGCTGATTAGAATGACCAACCCTCAACATGGTTAAATCAATACATTATATATACCTAGACCTAAATACAAAAGCCCAACCCAAATCCCAACCGAAATCATCATTAAGTCCACCGAAATCACATTGTGATTTTGGTCCAAACACCACCAAATTCATGGTGTTTTCGGTCCTAGACCGATAATTTTCAAAGCTACCTAAAGTAAAGTATAAACCACAAATCATGTCCCAGCAGTTACATTTCTTTTGGAGGTCTTTCCATTTTAAGTTTACTTGGTTTTGTGACCGATTTGAACCTCCCATTTAAACACTAAAACGCTCTAGAACCTTCTACCAAAATGCATTGAACCTTTGTTGATTTCCATGTTGATTATCTTTAGAAACATCGACATATACCTTAACCAAAGCCAACTCTTCGTGTTCCACCCAGTTCTTTTCGCTTCTGGTAGTGTGTATAGTTGCATTTTTTCTCAACAACGGGTTGCAACCCCTTGTTGGTTTCTTCTTCGTTTCTTTAGGTAGTTGGATCGTCACTAAAACTGTCAAGTTCTACGTTCTGAGCATCATGGAACTGGAAATTCTCAGGTTGAGAAGATTGGAATTGGGTTTCTGGAACCCTTTGATTAAATTGATATCATAGACTATATCTCTTATTTTCTTCTGGAAGCCTAAATGTGTTGTAAGATTGTTACACCAAAAAATATTGTTGTTGGTAGTTTTGGTTTTTTTTTGTAGTTTTGGTATTGATGATATTGTGGATTTTGAAAATCTGAAGAAAAAATAGAATGTCTTGACTTGAACCGCCTTGTGTGGCTTTGAGTCTTTGGATAGAACCGATTTGTTTAGATTTATCTCCGGAATCCATTGAATGTAACTCAAGGAATTAAACCAATTTGTATACTATTTCTCCAATTTCCCTTACTATTAAGATGTGGAGAAATAGAAAGTTGATGAAAGAAACTCAAAATAACAATAAAGGTACTTCCACCATCATCCTAGAGGACATTCCTGGTGGTGCCACCTCATTTCTGGCTGCATCTAAGTTCTGTTATGGTGTTCATATTGAACCTACACCTACAAATATAGTTATGGTGTATCACGTGTCAGATTATCTTGAAATGACTGATGAATATGGAGATGACAAATTATTCTCAAGAACAGTGACTTACTTCCATAAAATATATACTAACAACAGGAAGGATTTCATGGTTGCTCTTCAAAGTTGTGAAACCATTGTAACAAAAAGTAGAGTCATCGTCGCCACGATGAGGAACAACACTAGTATTTCTAGTGAAATTGCAGTGATCATAATGAGTTACGGACGGCGGCACGGTGTTGGTTTCATTGAGAGTTCTCTCGCAGAAGTAACACAATGTGTAATACAAAGCAGTGTGATCAATGGCAACGACTGTGCAGATGGTGGTGGTCCGTTTGTCGACTTCCATTGCAGTTGTGTAACGCCTCGATTCTCACGTATTGATTAGATAAAAGGTTCTTTGGTTTTAAGTCCTACTCGATGAGTTGGTTTCCCTACTCGTCGAGTAACAACGGGGTGGGATCGCGTGTTTAGTGACCTACTCGTCGAGTCTAATAAGGGACTCGACGAGTAGGAGCTGGCAGATGAAACCCTAAATTCGGGGGTGTTGCACCCTATTTAAGGAAGCCTTAGCCTCCTTTGGCATCCTTACAGTCTTGGAGAGCTCAGTGAAACCCTAATTCGTCTGGTACTCCTTGTGGTGTGCTTTAGAACTTGGAAAGAAGATTGGCTTGGAGGGAAGAGCTTGAAGAGCAAAGGAGTTGAGGCAAGGAAGGTGTGGGAAACAAAACTTACCTCATCTAGCATCTTTTGGAGGTATCAAGTTGCAATCTTTACACCCCTTTTCTTCTATACCTTTTTGTGGTTGAGTTTTAGGGCTTCGTGGATTTTTAGGAGTCATATTGGTGAGCTATGGGCTAGACCTGAAGTTGTAACTTCAGATCTGGACCCTTCTCAAGTTCTAGAATCACAAAGTTCATGTTTTGGTCGTGGTTGAGGCCCTCCTTGTGCATGAAACCCCATTAAGAGATTAAATTTTCATTAAGAGTCTTTTTAGTCATGCATGCACGTAAAGTTTGCAACTTTATGTGAAAAGCATGTCCTAGAAGCTTGGATATGTAATCTGGAGCCATTACATGGCTTAAATAAGTCTGTATGGCTTAAGGACTATAGGAACTCGGCGAATCACAAGGTTGACTCAGCAAGTCTTATAAAGATGGCCATTGAACTCGACGAGTTGATAAACAACTCGGCGAGTCCGATGAAGATTGCCTTAGACTCGACGTGTTGTATGAACAACACGGCGAGTCGGATGAGTTTTCCCCGAGTTATGAATGTGTGTGTAGCCGACGTGTTGCAAGAAGGAAACTCAACAGGTGGACTTAGGGTTTCGATCGAAAATCGTGAGAACTCGACGAGTCACCCTATGACTCGGCGAGTGGGAAAGAACTTCAAAGAACTCAGCGAGTAGCCGAGGGTACTTGGCGAGTTAAGGTTAACAGGGACTGTTGACCTTGACTGAGGACTTTGACTTTGACCTGGGGTTGACTGGCTGGTTTATGGAGTACTTGTGAGGTTGAGGATTTATGAGTATGCTCGTACTATGGTAATAGGTGGAGGAGTCATTGGCGAGTGATCCGAGAGTTGGGATTTATGTAGAGAGTCGACATCTGTGAGGTGAGTTATCCTCACTATATCAAAAAGGTCTAAGGCACCAAGGTCGACCCTTTAGTTGTTATCGTTATGATATATATATATATATATATATATATATATATATATATATATATATATATATATATATATATGGTTATGATCTGATAGATTGGAATCAGGATAGACAGTATGTTATGCATCTATGATCTTTAGGGATCGAGAATGTTAGTGGCCTGCTAGGTCTGTATTCTAGTCATGAGAGATTGCTATGATTGATGATCAGTGAGTTAGCTATGTTTGATGCCTATATATGCCAATATATGTTAGTTTTGCGCACATGATTGTTTGCTCGTTGATTTGGGTTGAGGCGGTCCTGCTTTGTGCTGAAGGCCAACATACCTTATGAGCGGTCCGGGAAGACTGTAGGACCACATGGCGGTCCAGTCATGCCGAAGGCTCAGTGAATATTCAGTAGACTGTAGGCCCTGTAGGACAGTCCCGTCAGACCAATGGGCCAGTATGCATGTTGTTGATTTATGGTTACATATTTGGTATTTCAGTGTGATATTGGTATTTTGGGGGTAACTCACTAAGCCCTCGGGCTTACAGTTTGCAGTTTATTGTTTCAGGTACTTCAGGAGGAGATCATGGCAAGGAAAAGGCGTGACCGTACCGCTCCTCATCCTTATGATCTTATTCTGGGACACTCTGATGGATATTGAAAGAAACTGTTTTGTAAACAGTTACTCGTTGGTTTTTAAATTATGATTGAAAAGTTTTAAATTTTGGCGTAAAAATTTATGGGTGTTACAAGTTGGTATCAGAGCCTTGGTTTGAGTGAATTGGAGGAGCACTCATGTGAATTCAATCTCAAATCAAGGAGATTTTCGGAAAGTAAAATTTTAAAATGTTTTTTTTAAATAAATGATGGAAGATGCAGAGGGTACGATCAGTCGAAGCCTGTAAGTGAACCCCAAAATACCATACAGTCATTTGATATTATGATATATTAGAACAACATGCTCTAATATGTCAGATGGAAAGGGGTGAGGTTAAGGTGGTTGTCAAAAGAATGGAATGGATGATGTCAAAATCCTCTATAATAAATGAATGTTTTTTTTTATCACTTGTCACACTCTCATTCAAATTATCAAATGTCATTTTGTGGTTATTTTGAATTAAATTTTTTCACATGTCATTTTATAAGTTTTATTATTTTATTAAATTCTACATAATATTTTAATGTAATAATTATAATAAATGTATATCAATTTCATTAACAAAGTTACCTTTTAACTTTAAATTTTTCAAAATTAAAATTCATTGGTTTCTTTTATTTATTTATATTATTTGTTTAAATTTAAAAGATAAGAAATATTTTTATTATAATATTTTATTATTTTTCTTATAAATTTGAAATTATCATATTTATATTTATATATTTTTTTAATTAGTTTATGTAATTCATTCATAATCTCACACAATACAATTGAAGGTTGGATAATGATATTTCCAATCAAAATGACATGAAATGGAGAAGAATTATATCAAATCATCATCTAGGATTTACCTTCTAAAGGACTACATTCATTTCATTAACATGTCATTTCATACTTTCTAAAAAAAAAATTTAGTGGCTAACAGATGATAGTTTGATTACCCTTAGTTACTTGGAAGCCCAATTATCAATTATCAATTATCAATTTCCAGGAAGCCCAATTACTTTGCAAACAAATTTTTAGGGTTTATCGTTTTGAAGCACCGCGAGTTGCAGAAGATGACAAGATAATCAGATTTTTGCTGGTAGTTGTACATTGTACTGTTTGATCACTTCATTTTATGCGGAGTCGTGTGCAAGTTGATATTTGACTTAAGTTTTCAGCAGGTGTTTAAAAGAAATATCTTCTAATCATACACTCTGCAAATTTGCGATTGTTCTGTGTTGCGTTTGTGTTGAGAAGCAAAACCATGGCGATTTATTCACCAGGTTTCGTCGTTGCACGACTCCGTGATTCATCGAGCATAAGTGAATCGCCAATGCTTTCCATGAAATTGAAATCGGTACTTAAAAATGGGGTTTCTAATTTTATGCAAAACCCTATTTTAAGAACCCGTGGCAGGAATGCGCTTACAGCCAAGTTAAAATCTGCTACATCTGACAATTTAGGGAAAACAGTCACTGTTACCGAGGTTTTCGACTCAAAACCTGATCGAGAAAGCGGTGGTGGAGACGACGGAAATGGAAATTCTCCACCTGGTAACGGCGGCAATGGAGGCGGTGATGAGGGTGGCGGTGGTGGCAACGAGGACGATCACGAGGAGAAAGAGTTTGGACCGTTAATGAAATTCGATGAAGTGATGAAGGTGGCTGAAACACAAGGCGTGAATCTTCCTCTCGATATGTTAGAAGCTGCAAAAGCTACCGGACTTCGCAAACTTATTCTTACACGATACATGGATTTACAGGTAAAGGAAGTTATTTCAATTACAGTATGATACAAAGCTTAAGTTGTTTTACAATCTGTTGTTCAGGGCTCTGGGTGGGCTCTAGGTTTCTTGATGAAGTATTGTGCAGTTCTTCGTAACAGAATGCTTGCTGATCCATCATTTTTGTTCAAAGTTGGAACAGAGATAGTGATTGATTCTTGCTGTGCGACATTTGCTGAAGTCCAAAAAAGAGGAAAAGATTTCTGGGCAGAATTTGAGTTGTATGCTGCAGATCTTCTGGTAGGCATAGTTGTCGACATTGCTTTGGTTGGCATGTTAGCACCATATGCTCGAATTGGAAAGCAAACAGTAGCAAGTGGTGGTCTTTTTAGTGGCCTAAAGAACTCTGTTGCAGCTCTTCCAAGCAGGTTATTTCAAAACTTCCCTTTTCTTTACAAAATCAAATGATTATGTAGTAAACTTTTGAATCATATTGCGTGTCCAGTGTCTTTGAGTTTGAGAGACCAGGGTGTAGATTTTCAGCTCAACAACGACTTGCAACATACTTTTACAAGGTATTGATAAATTTTGCTCAATTTCTTACGTAATGATGACATGACAATTGACATGACATGTGTTTTGGTGATAATAATGGATACAGGGGCTCTTGTATGGTTCAGTTGGATTTGGGTGTGGTATAATCGGTCAAGGAATTGCAAACATGATTATGAATGCCAAACGGTATGCTTCTCACATGACAATATGGCAATGCTACTAGTGAAATGTCGAAAATACCCTTTAAATCTGTTTTGTAATTTCAGGAGGATGCATAGTTCAGATGAAAATTTACCACGAGTGCCTCCTTTGGTGAAAAGCGCTGTTCTTTGGGGTATGTTATGTTTTGTAATGATTCTGATTGTTTATATGATAATTAGCATGCAGATATTTAGGTTTTTTTTTTTTTTTTTTTTTTTTTTTTTAATTATTGAATAAACATAAACACAGGTGTTTTTCTTGCGGTGTCTTCTAATACGCGTTATCAAGTTATCAATGGATTGGAAAGTGTGGTGGAAGCTTTACCTTTGGCGAAACAGGTCCCTGTAGTTGCAATGGCGTTTACAGTTGGAGTGCGTTTTGCAAACAATATTTATGGTGGAATGCAGTTTGTAGACTGGGCGAGATGGAGTGGTGTTCAGTAGTTGGATGTAGAATTTTGGTATTTTGGCAGTTACCTCCTGCTCCTTTTACTAGGTTGATTACTTATATCCAACCTGGTTTTTTTTTTTTTTTTTTTTTTTTTTTTTTTTTTTTTTTTTTTTTGTTGTAGTAGTTTGAAATAAGAAAAATTAATGATATTGTATCTTTGGTGTTTCTTTAATTAGTATTATTGAACAAAATCTAATTAAATTAGGGTGAATCAAATAATAGATATGGATAATGACTTGAAAAGGTTAACTTTCAACTTTATTCATATTTAATTGCTCAACTTTTTTTTTTCTTGTTTGATTTAATCTTAAATTTTTTGAAACTATTCAAATAATCCAGGAGTTAATCAAGCATGAAAAAAAGTTAAACGATTAAATATGAAAAAATTTGAAAGTTCGTTATCCTTTTAAGTCATCTTTTTTTGTAATCCTCTATTAGTTTATTTTGCTTATTGGTAGCAATTACTTAGATTAATAAATTTGAATTTAGTGATTATGTTTGTTTTATGTTGTGTTTCTAAGGAGTATTACATAATAGAATACCTACCACATAACCATGTTGTAGTTTGACTTTAAACCTAGTTAATGAGATAAACTTCAGAGTTTCTTAATTCATTTCATGTTTTATGCTTTTATTTATAGTTAACGTTTTATAAGTTATAATGGTAAATCATTTATCCAACCACAGATAAAATAATTTGTGTAATTTATATATATTACAAATTGCTACACTATTTATGATGAAGTGTTGTGAATACAACACTATTTGTGCGCATTATATACAAAATACTAGGTTATAACCTGTGGAATCCACGGGTAAGAAAAAAAAATGACATTGGTGTGAAAATAGTTGTCAAATTTATTTTATAACCATCACAATCAAACTTATAATTACACAAATAAATTTATTAAGCAAATACTAAAAAAAATGTATCTTATCATTTATCATTAATGTAATTCATTATAACTCTTATGCTTGCTTATTTTCTAAAATTGTATTCTTAACAATTATACAATCCAAAAAGAACATAAATGATAAGTTCTTTATTGCATTTTAAATACCATGAAACACAATCATATCGCAGCCTTCCGTACAGGCGAACCAACAAAACCATTACCTCCAAACACTACAAGCTGATAAAAACAAAATTTAAACGTTATAAATATAAGAAAACAAAAGCTAAACGAAATAAATCCTTAAAAGAGCATATGTTTACCCTCTTAGGAAGATAATTCTGATAGATTTAAGAGAAGTGAGGCTCTTCATGACTCTCTTTTATTAATGAAAATCCCATTTATTCAAAAGCTTATGTTTTCTCAATAAAATAAAAATATTAATTTTATAACTTGGTAGGGAAATTACCTAAACATTGACAAGATGAAATGAAGCTCTTAAAAGGGGAAAATGTATCCTAAAGCACCACCGGACAATATAGTCAAATTTTAGAACCAAGAGTGCCCCCTGAAACAAAAATTGTATCTATTAATTTGTTCCTTTATAACGACATAAAAACTCTTCTAGATTAACATGCATTTCTTTATTCGATCTTGTTTGTAAAAAATATAATATTAAGTTTAAAACATAGAACAGAGGCTAGACAATTTATGTGTAAAGACAAATAGTGAAATATAAAGAAATAAAAGTAGGATGCAATAAAAAATAGATAAACGAAAGAAAATAGCATGTGATATATACATGTCCCCATTTGACCCATTATGGAAGTTACGTTGAGGACAAAAAATTCAAGATCGGTCCACATATCAGAAATTTGGAAGGAATTTGGTCCAATTGAAATGAAGATTAAGCAAGAGGACAAGTGTGTGTGCATATCAAAAGGCTATAAAACATGGATTTTCATAGATGTAGGGAATTACCCATAAATATCACCATTTCATGGTTTTCGGCACAACATTTTCTGTTCTCTAGTGCTACATACAACCTTTTTATACTGCAACACCTGGAGGTTAGGCA